CCTCCTTGCCCCTTTCAAACGCGAACGCGAGCGGTTTCCCAGGCGACGGAGGGAACGAAAGGGACGCCACGTCGTTTCAAAAATCATGGCATGCGAGGCAACGGTCGCCTAACCTAACACTGGTACTCCTTCCTCCGAAGCAGCTCGCAGCGGCAACAGTGGCCAGCAGCGAGTGTCACACTGTGTCACTGTCACGCTCGAACACACACTGACACCGCACAAGGACTTGCCGCTGTTGGTTATTTGACTCCTCCTTTGTCCCCGCCGCGCGCATGGCCCCTCCTGTCTCTCCGCTTTCTTTATAAGGCTCACACAACGGCGGCGTCGGCGAGGGTGAGAAGCGACGCCGCGGCGGCAGTCAGCTCTCAGCTCTGCAGTGCGCGCGAGCGCGACAGGCCGGGGGTGCTGCCACGGTGGTGGGAGATGGCGACCGTGCCGTTGCCGTGGCCGCTCGCTGTGACTGTGAGCGTGAGGAGGTCGCTGCAGGAGGGGGCGACGGGCGCGGCGTCGTACGCGCAGGCGCAGCGAGCCTCGCAGCAGGGGGCGGCGCGGTCCGCGACCACGGCGAGGTCGGTGGAGACGCTGGTGGTGATCGTGGCGGCGATCGTGCTCGCCGCCGTGCTGGCGGGCGTCCTCGCCCGCGTGTGCGGTGGCCGGCACGTCGTGCCGAGCGCCCAATACCACGACGAGGAAGGCTGGGTGGAGAGGCGCTGCCGGAGCTGCCTCGACAGCGGGCTGCCACCGCCGCCGGCGCCGGCGCAGGGGTCGTCAAAGACGAGCGAGGCCAAATAGAGTCTGTTGATTACTTGTAGTGCTAGCCTTAGTAGCCTGCTGCGTACTACTGTAGTGCTGAAGTATAGTAATACTAGCGTTTGTGTATGCATTATTACTGCAGGCTGCTTAAAGTGCTTATCAGCGTATGCAAAGGTTGTGTGTAATTAGAACAGCCGGATGCCCGGATCTGGCTGCTAGCTATTTGTACACGAGAGTGGTACGAGGCTAGGACGTCAGGCATTAATCCTCGTTGTAATATTTTTGTACCGATAGATTAGTAGCAAAGTAAACTTACTTAACGAGAGTACTTATAGTGAGAGAAGTACCCTATAAATACCATAGCCAGTCGAATTTAGTTAGCGCAATTCTGCAGGGGATACGTACTTTCTCCTATCACAACAGATATATTAGCCCCGAGGAACTGATTATTTTCGTTTTGTTTGGAGGAAAAAAACGATTGTGGAGAAAACACGATCATTTTGGTTGGTTTCTGAGTACTTATAGTGAGAGAAGTACCCTATAAATACCATAGCCAGTCGAATTTAGTTAGCGCAATTCTGCAGGGGATACGTACTTTCTCCTATCACAACAGATATATAAGTTGTCCTTAAGTCATCTTGTTCAATTAAATTCAGTAATAATTTGTATGTTTATAGAAATATTTATACAAATCTTCTATGATCAACTATATAATTTTTTATATTGATTGTCAAAACTAAAATGCTAACTTAAGACAAATATAGAAAGATTTATTATATGTAAAATGGGAGTTAGTACGAGATATGTTCGAACGATTGGGCAACAAATCTGTGCGGTCGACCATTTGCTGATGAGGACGCAGAACGAAAGAGTACGGGATCTGAATCACCGAGGCAAACGACCGAGAATCAAGTTCAGTGTCATCGTGAATCCCATATGCCAACTATCCCATCGACGATGGGTCGCTGGTAGATAGGGGCTGTTTGGATGGCAGCCATCATTTGCCACCCCATGTGTGGCGCAGCCACAGCTTGTGGCGTGGAAATCGTCCGCCACAGAGTGTGGCGAGTTTTGTCTCTGCAGGAACTGTGGCTGCCTAAGTTGGCTCGTCAACCAAACGACTGACAAAAGTTGACAAAAGTTGCTTGGCGGCCACACATGTGTCGCGTGTGAAGGCTGCCAACCAAACAGCCCTAATCCGTGTGACATTGTTGCAATCAACCCAAATATCACCGTAACACCAATGCGAAATGACGAATTTCTCAATTTCTCATAGGGAAACTGATTGATATTAACATGACGTGCTATCGGCTTTACAATAGGCACATTACCCAATAGAGTTCAGTCGTTTCTTACTTTTACAACCACGACTCCAAGCAAAGCTTAGAAACGATCCATTCGCAAGGCAAGATAGCTTACAGCCTTCTACGCCATAAGCGTTTCACTGATACAGGGGGAGAGAAAAGGTCAGTCTCTTGAAAAGTTCTGTCAACCTTATGAGGGTAAATAAGCTTTGCAGTTACTTACCTCAGGATAGCAGTCTTGATGTACTATGGTTTCGTTGTGTGGATTAACATGCATCACGCAAGATATTCTCCCCTGCAAGAAGCCAAGAACAATCATTAAAGGATTCATAAGTACTACACCTGGATCATACTGAGTATACACTGCAAGCAAAGAACCAATAACGTGCACTCCTGGTCAATCTTTTAACCCTAATATTCATCAATCTTTTGTTTAGTGCAACAATAAATTTTGACTCAACTGGAAAAACACCTCTAGCTTGTGAGAGCTACAGGCACTGGTGGAACTGTTATTCTCTAGTAAAAACAATTTTGTTTGCTTATAAGAAATTTGAATACAATATACAAGAACAAATAAAGTAACAATAACAACCCAACCTAGGAATTTGACGGATTGCCATTAGATCAACGAAACCATGAACATTCTTGCAGTCATACAATATTATCAGTTTATCACCACAGAACTATGTTAATAAACCACCTATTTTACAGCAATATAGTAACACAAATACACACATAGAAGTACTGTTCTAGCATGTGAAACCAAAAAAGGGTAGAATGAAAGTTGAAAAGTAGCTCCATCAGAAAACTTTCTAATTTCTAGGATATTTGCATTTTTTTTCAATAAAATGAAGAACCAGGCCTACTGCAATGGAGATTCCACAATGAAAACTTTGCACTGGTCACCAGTCCATGTAATCAGTGGAACAAAACTAACCATGGCACAGGATTATACATAGGCTTATAAATATGACCTGCTCCTCTACAGCCTAATCCTCCAACAACATTCTGGAGGAGAGAGAAAAAAGGAAGATTTGTTGTTTCATGGCTAAAATAACTATGTCCTCTTGTTGCAACTATATGCCAAAACAACTATATCCAAATGCAAAAACCAAAGGCAGTAGGCAACTTGGCATGCCTTATATCCATCAACATTGCTTAAGGCATTTTAACAAATTAAGATGGTCACTTCATATTTTACTCTAGCAGATAGCTCATCAAGGAATTAAACAAATTACTTTCACCAGTAGTCCAGTACCAAACATATCTTTACAGAACAAGGAGAAAGAACTTTCTGTGAACAAACAGGGCATGTGATGAGGTAGATGCCACACTGAAGCTTGAGCGTCTCTAGCTTTATGGCAACAAAGGAGAAAAACTGAAAATAACAACCTGACTAGACTTGGCGAGAACCTGGCAAGGTTTAGGGGAAAACTAGCACAAAACTGAAAATAACAACCTGACTAGACTTCGCGAGAACCTGGCAAGGTTTAGGGAGCAAAACTAGCACTTTATCATTGCCAGGAGATAGGTAGCTTTCAGGAAAACCCGAAGACAGGCTAACCTCGGGAGAACTTTCCCTGAGTTCCTACTCCTACAGAGAATACAAGGCATTGAGAATTGTTTTTTTTATACGTTCGATAATCCTGACACTTGACAGCGAGACTGTTAGGTGATAAGGGGATTTGGGGGTAATGGACATGCCAGCAGAGCTGGTAGGACTATCCACAATCAATATAAATCTTATTGAAATGTTTGATTTGTTCATGCATACTTTGAAAACTCCCTCAAATATTATTCTTCAGATTGTTCTCCATGCAGCAGGATTAGGAAAAACAACATGCATGCTACACTGTTTTATTTGTTCAATGAGACGATAGTTTTCCTAAGTTACAAAATGACAAAACGATGCAAGAGGTATATAAGTGGAAAGTGCAAGCGACAGATTTCATTAACTAACACTGTCTTTAACTTTGAGCAGAAAGCCTTCATTTGGGCATGAAAAACACAAAAAATAAAATAAAGAAAAGCAATATAGCCTCCATGCCAGTAGTTCCATAAATCCGTACAGAAGTGATACCAGGAAGCGATAACTTTGAAGTCTAGGAAGTGAGAAATGATAACAGCTAAAGACACAAGGAACATGTGAAATGTTGAAAAATACTATTCTTCTCATGTGTTGTCAGATCTATCACTCTTACTAGGTGTCCCTTAATGATTGCCATTTTTTACTGTAAATCAGTCACTTCAGCCAATGATTAAACATGAAGTCACTTCAGCAAATGATTAAACATGGAGACAGAAAATTCAAACAACAGTAGCCAATGCCTTCATAATAGTAGAATAACATTTTTGTTTCAAATTCATTAAAAAAGTCAAACAAAGGATATGTTTGATGACCATGCATTCTTACAGAGGCAACACACTAAATTACTGTTACATCTTGAAACAAAATCTTCTAGAAAAATGATATCTAGATACAAGAGGTAACTTGTCAATGATCATGGTAGAAGCAACAATGAATCAAAATGCAAGCTTAATGCTAAGTATTTATGACATGTCTCATTATGTTCTTTTGCACATTTAGTGAATCAGAGAATTAGAGCATGTATCCTGCTAACATTACACCATGAATGTTAAGAAAATGATGGCCACACCATGTCTGACAGGTGAAAGATATCTAGATCCATGCAAGATGATTGTGTGGGATCTTCTTTCCTCACAATTTTTTTTGCTGCATTGTCCTGTATTGTTTTTTCTTTATAATGCATTAGCCATTGTATGGACCTTAAGAATCATATATCAGATAAACTACTATGCATCAACAGCAGAATTCCAACTTGCTTAACCTCACGTCAATATCCTACATATGGGGCTTTCGCATTACCATAAGAGGGAAAAGACAAGATGCGTCTAAGCCCGAATACTGATACAGATTATGATTCAGTTCATGAGATCTGCATATAACTATATATAACAAAAAAGAAATCAACAATTCGCACCTTGACAGGGATGCTGAGGAAGAAGAAGTGGAGGTGGCCCTCGACCTCGACGATGGTATCAAAGGGCACGGATCCCCGCGCGAGGTCCTCGATCAGGTAGATCGCGTCCTCGACGACGCGTATGCCGTCGAGCTGCAGGTCGGCCTCGACGTACGAGACAGCGCGCGCCCGGACCCGTCCGCCGCCGGATGTGACCCGGCCAAGCGGCGCGCCGCGGTAGCCGATGGCGACGTCGAGGCGGTTGTAGTCGAGCGCGAAGAGGTCCGGGTTGCGGACGCGGACCTTGAGCGCGGCGGATATAGTGACGGCGACGGCGGGGCGCGCCACGACGGAGACGTGCGCTAGGCGGAGGCGGGCGAGGGAGACGTCCGGGTCGGCGGGCCAGAGGAGGAAGCCCGCGAGCGCGAGGAGGAGGAAGAGGGCGGTGAGGCAGGGGCCGACGCAGCAGCGGCCGCCGCGGCGCAGGCGGCGGCGGAGGCGGACGGGGACGAGGAGGACCGTGTAGGAGTCGGCGGGGTGCGGGTCGAGGTAGGGCGGCGGGGAGGCGGAGGTGGGGAGCAGGGGATCCCGCGCCCCCGCGGTGGGTTGCGTGGTCTTCGCCATGGGAGAGCGGGAGCAGCGGTGGGTAGGCGGGTTACGGGGCGGGGCGGTGGACTGAACTGCTGATAATGGTGCGTAGCGTAGTATACCGTAGCTTGGAAGGAAGGGGAGAGGGGACGAAAGTCGTTGATTTGAAGTTGGGAGTGGTCGAGTGGAGAGGAGCTCGTGAAGATGGTCGCCCGCGATTGGTGGCTTGGCCGCTTGGCTTTGTTCTGTAGCGCTTCTAGTTCTACTTCTGTCTCTGTTTTGGGATGTTTGACGGCATGACGGGTGTGGATCGCCATCTCTTGGGGAACGCAGTCGCGGTACGCGTTGGCGATGTTGAGAAGAAGACCATCTCGTTAAGCTATTAGACGCAGCTATAAACCAACAATTCGAAATATTTCCATCATACGGAGTACATGCTTCTGCAAATAGTGACAATCACATTTTGTTTTAAGTCAAAGTATTTTGTGTTCGGCTATTTTTGAAAAATTAATAGTATGACTTAAATAGATTTGTCATGTGTGTATACCATGTGCTTTGTTGTTTTTTAGACGTGAATCCTAATCAAATAGACTCCCTCCATTCTAAATTCTAAATTATAAATAGTTTTGACTTTTCTCATTACTCTTTTTATTTTGAATTATAAGTCGTTTTAGCTTTTCTATATAATTTTGCTATGTATCTAGACATAGCGTATTATGTAGGTGTATAACAACAGTTATATACATCCAGAAAGGTTAAAACAATTTATAATTTAGAAGAATAGAGGAAGTACATAATAAAAACAATATATATAGAAAAAGCCAAAACATTTTATAATTAGAAATTGGTGGAGTAGTTATTTGTCGGGTATCAATGCTAGGGATATCACAAAGAAAGGATCTAGAGGACCGTGAGACGACGACTCGTCTAGATGATCAAAGACGTATTTCCGTCTCGCCCACCCCCAACGGTACGGGAGCCGTGTCGCCCGACCCTGAGGGCACAGGCTCTGTCTCGCCCGACCATGGGGGTGCGGGCTCCATATCGCTTCGACCCCCAAGGTACAAGAGCCGTCTCGCTAGACCCCTGGGGGCGCGGGCTCCGTCTCGCCCGACCCCTAGGATACAGGAGCCGTCTCGCCCGATCCCTGGGGCGCGGGCTCCGTCTCGTCCGACAGGGACCCATACTGCCTCTAACCACTACGGGTCAGAAGGTACGACTCTAGGGTCAAACTTCTGACACCGGGCAGGAAGCAGGCACGTGTCGACGTGACCCATGGCCACGTCAGGCCACGTCCGGAGGTTCACATCGCCAACAGTGATGGGTGCATAGTCACTGCGCTACCTACTCCCCGTACGGCCGCTGACCGGCACGTCGGTTCGCCACATCGTCTCTCGAGACGGGATGAGACGCCACGACCAGCTGATGACGCTGGGGCATGGCACCAGTGGTTAACAGGAGCCCGACGTGGAGCAATCCCCATCACCATCTACAGCATCGAAGGGACCCGCATGAAGGAGAAGAAGGACCCGGCTCTCCCTGACTTTTCTCTTTCTTTCTCTCTGTAATCGGCACCTCCCCCTTCACCTATAAAAGGGAAAGCAGGACACCCCAAGAGGAGGAGGATGGCGAACACACAGCAAAATGAGCACACAGTTGAATGAGCTCAGCAAGACTCTACTCCATTCGACTTTTTCACTAGAGACTTGAGAACTTCTCCCTCTCTCGCTCATTTGTAACCCCTACTACAAACTAGTGTCGGTAACACGAGCAGCAGCATACTGGACGTAGGGACATTCTGCTCGAACCAGTATAAATCCTTATGTCCTCTAAGCACACCATCCGAGCCAGACGCGCAGATACAAATTTACTCGTCGGTGATCCGAAACACCGACAGTTGGAGCGCCAGGCAGGGGATTTTTGCACGTCTCGACGTCCACATCAGGACTCGGATGGCTAGTCATGGCGTCAGCTGGCTCCCGGGCACGCACGTGTGCTTCGGGAACCTGGACTTCATCGTCATGACGGAGGAAGAGTTGGCGCAGGCTCCCGCCGCCATCCAGCCTCTCCACTCCGCTGGCCTAAACACGATCGTCGAGGAGCTTGAGGAGCTACAGCTGCACGCGCCAGGAGGCCCATGCCCCTAGGAGCGACCAGCTCCTCGGCTTCGATTAAGGGAGGGTAGAGCGCCAGCTCGATGCCTTCCTAGGACCCCGAACGTTCTCGAAGGACCTGTGCTGCCTCACCTTCTTGATCGCCAATGTCATGACGCAGCTTGCCGAGAGGGGAACCGCTCTCCCCAGAATACCTCATCCGGAATGCCCCAACAGCGTTTCCATTCGATCTCCGCAATGCTACGAGGACCGTTGGCCACCTTGTGGCGCAGCGCACGCCCCCATCCCCTACGAACGACGAGTTCGTGGGGATGACCGAATACGTCGCGGAATCTTTTCACGACCTTCTCATGGGAGATTTGGAGTCGCCCTCTGACTCTGACTCCAGCAGGGGGAGCCATCACCCCTCGCGAGAATGTTTTATGGCAGCTACCCCCGAGGGACGCGTCAAAAGCGTCCACGAGGGATGGGCTACCCCAACAAACGACCTCGATGATGAGGTCGAGGGAGATGTAGGGGCCCCACCTTGCCTGCGGGTGGAGCAGCTGAGGGCGCGACATAGGGAACTCAAGGATGCGTGACTCCAGCTAGAGCAGAAGCGCGCGGAGCTCGAGCAAGAGATTGAGCGCCGCGGAGACGGGGGTGCGCGCACGCCATGGCCCATGACGTGAACCGGAGGATCATCGAGGATGATGGAGCCCTCCCACACTTTGCCGGACAAGCCAGAACATTGCTACCACGGTGGCTTTGCTCCGAGGGCTTCCGGAGCCTACAACACCCGAGGATCCTCGGGCCCAACACGAGATCCGCACGCTGCTCGAGAGCACGATGATGCGCAGGTGGAGAGCTCATTGTCTCGGCGATGCGAGCTCAACGCCAGTTAGCACGCGCCCTCGGGATGACATGTCAGGGACGTGTCTGTCCACCAAGCACCGCGCGTCAGCGGGGATTGCGCCGTGGCTCTGGTGAATGAGCATCTCGACCTCCACCGTGACGCATGTAACTCCCTAGATGCCCGTAGGCATGCACGAAGCGATGTGAGAGAGGAAGGCGGCCATGGCTACCACCCTTGTCGTGGTGGACGCTACGACAGTGGCGAGGATTGGAGCCCGAGCCCCAACCTACCGGGGCATCAGGCCTTCGGCCGACACATCCTCAACGCCGCCTTCCCATCGCGGTATCGACCGTCAACCAACATCTGAAAATACTCTAGGGAAATGAACCCCGAACTGTGGTGAGAGGATTACCGGCTTGCTTGCCAAGCCGATGGAGCGGATAGTGACAGTTTCATTATATGCAACCTTCCATTGTTCCTAGCTGATTCGGCGTGAACATGGTTGGACCACCTTCCATCCAACCAGATTCAAAGTTAGGCGGACCTAAAGGAGATCTTCGTGGGAAACTTTCAGGTGTAACACCCTAGGTGTTACGAGCTTATTTAGTGCCAAGATTTAGACATAAGAGGAATTACCGAAATGAGTTTCTCGGATTTTAAAATTTGAAACACTTGAACTTATGTTTAAAAGTATCATTTTTGGTGAATTATATTGAACAACTAGTTAAGTAGTTCCTAGATGTTTTGTTTCTATGAGTTAGTATGTAGTATGGGCTAGGTCATGGTACAATTGTTAGTTGAATCGGCAAGGTTTAGACCTTTTAAAAATATCAATCAAAAGTGTTAGGGGAGGTTAGTACTAATCGAACATTGAATTCTTGTAAGTCTAAAATGATAATTGACAATGCTATTTTGTCATTTAAATTTTAACCAAAATGCCTAGACACTAGCTTCATGTAATTGTACAGTTGATTGCATCAAGGTGAGTACTTGGGTATGGTATAGGTTGTAGTCATGATGGGAGTCACGTTGTGTTCATAAAAATTGCCCAAATTCCTTAGAATGGCGGTGAATCACATTTCGGTGCTCTGTTCGTGAACGGGCGTTCGGCGTGACAAGCCCATGTTGGCATGCATCTAACTCCTCCTCGAGTTACTCCCTGGCCTTGGCGGTTGCTTTGCTAGATAGTTGGCACTATGGGCTTAAGGTTAGGGAAATTAGTTGAACTTCATCCAGGGTCGTTAGCGGTTTTTGAGTCGCTTTAAAAATCATGCGTGTTGCCGTTTCGGCCATTGGGCTCCCATGGCCGTGGTCACCACGCGAGCCTGGCGCCATGGCTGCCGGACACACCTGGCCATGGTGACTGCGCCACCCCTCGTTCCACCTACCGCAACGATAATTTGGACACCCTAGAGACGGGACGCTTCCCTGCCCTACCTGTGCCGCTGCCGCCGCACCATGGCCATCCGATCCCAGTCGTAGTGCCGAGGTGACGCTCTTCTACTGCCTTGTCCCGCTAGCCACCATGGAGAGCTCTGCTCGGGTTCAGTCATTTCGAGTTATGTGCATCGCGCCAACCGCCTGGCCTCGTCGCCTGTGTGCGCGAGCTCGTGGCCACCACCGACCGGAGTCCATCTTTAACTTGCTCAGCCTGTGTGAGCTCATCCGGGTACCCTCCCCATGATGTGACCTTGGCTTGGGCATCGCGCCTCTCGTCCTTTGAATTTGCCTAGCCCATGACTCCCTAGCCCACCTCCTCACGTCTGTAGGTTGCCCAGAGAGCTAGTTAGCTGCCCCAAACCGTGTCTAGCTCAGCAACACCCCATGCAGCGCCAATTTGATGTACCGGCCCCGTGGGCCATGTTCGCCGTTGTGGCTGGGAACTTAGGGAGGAGGTAGGATTGGAGCGGTAATTGTTCGATTGCTCGTCACTCGAAGTTCACCTTGATCCTCCTCATCCAGTGCTCGTGCTACTCTGGCCAGAGCGCTCGACGAACAGAGGGTGACGCGTCGGCGTCGCGCTTGGAGCGCTCGCCGCACGGTACGGGCACAAGTGGGCAGCCTGCCCCAGCGCTTCTCGGCTTCAA